TTATCTGCTTCTCTGTCTAATTTCAGTAAATAAACCGCTAAAGCTACCTGCTAAACCCAGCCCACATCCGCTGATGTCAAAGGTGCATCACAAGTGGCCAAACTGTGTCATGGAGACACAGTTAAAAAAAAGAACAGACTGCAGCTACTGAGAGTACAGTTGAATTATTGTTGTACCCTGTATTAACCTCCACAAACACTTTTAGTTGATAGTTTTTTTCATCTTCAAAGCAGTAAATTCCTGTAAATTCCTTCACCAGTGCTCTTGTGAAGGAAGGCACCTTGTAATGATTAGCTGATCTTGACTTGTCCTTTCTTAGGGTTCAATAAAAAACATTATTGGGAATCACTGGTATGACGTAATTTTAGTTAATCTTTACTATAACTGTGGCTAAGAGATAAAATATCCAAGTATGAAGTCTTTTTTCCCCTGTACATTTATTACAAACAGACTTATCCTGTTTGTCTATCTATCTTTCTGTCTGTCTGCCTGTCTATCTTTCTATCAGCACAAAAAAAAGATTGCTCAATACAACGGAAAAAAAAATTGGTTGAATTTGACCAATCTGGCTGCTAGATATCCAAAGAATATTTTGGTTAGAACAACAAATCTAATTTGGTAGTGTATTTCACCACTCTATATTGGTTAAATGGCAAAGCAAACAAATTGGCCACTTTAACCAAAGTATTGGTTGAGTACTATAGAAACTTTGATAGACAAGGATGGAGTTTGAACCCACAATCCTTTGGTTGCAGGGCAAACTCCTGCCACCATTACCATTAACATTTCCTGGAATTTAACACTACTACCAATGGTACAACCAAGCTAATACGGAGATTTGCATGCTCTACATATACACATCATTGTAACTGTTCTCTAGGTCCATAACTATTACACACTACACCTGACTACAGCCAAACAGTGAGATTAGTAAACCATCAGTTGCCATTGTTTTAACCAATTGAATAGGTTGATCCAAAACCAATGGCTTGATAAGTTTCTGAACAAGCCATTGGTTGATTTAACCAACTAGATTGACTATCTGTCTTTCTTTTTGGTTGTCCTTATTAAAAGGGATTGCTGCAATGCATCCTCTTTATTGAAATTATATTTGTGAAAGGGGGGGGTGTTCCGCCTTCTTCTACTGCCTACATTCCCAATACCAAATATTTAAGTGTCTGGAAAAGTTCAAGGGTTTTTAATACTTTTGAAGGGAACTATAAACCACGTATACTAAATCAGTGACAGACCTAAAACACTCAGGATACATTTGTCCTGAATGCATGCCTTATAGACTTAAAGAGTAGAAGTAAACTATCTAGGAATCATTTTAAAAAATAGGAATCCACAAAAAACAATATATTAATTGAAACAGACATTTATCACATTTTAAAAACATGAATCACATAAACACATTTATATAATAATTTTTAGAATAGCTTCTTCTATGTTTTTTAGGGTTGAAAAAGTCATATAAAGCTTCACATAAAAAAACAAAACATTTCTGTAGACAAATTACCTTGTTGAACAGAAGCACTGCAGAACCACAACTTGTTGTGCAAACAATAGTTGCACAATAGTCTAATTTGAATAGTAAAATTAGCCTGGGTGAGGAGCCTGAACTGACATTAGGATTTACATGAGGATACATTTCTCCTCAGCTGTCTGCCTTAGCTCAGTCACTTTGCTCTGGGCTGTGGTCTTCAGTGCATCCAAGTCCATGTTTTGAATCTTGTTGAGGAAAGAATCATTGGCCTCCTCTTCCTCCTCATCTTCATCAACCATTTTGGCCAGCTCCTCTGGGAGATCGACATCATCCCCAGCCATCTGAATCATTGCACTGTCTTGAGCGCTCTGTTAAAATCATGGAGAAAACATAATATCTTAATAAATGTATTATATGTCATTTAAAATATTTATTTATTTAAACATTTAACCCAGCACTAAGTAATCTTTCCACCTTCGTTAAATATTTTCATAACTTTTGTGATTATACCTTGACTCACAACTAGTTGAATAACACCTCTGACATGGCCTGAGGGGGTCTGTATTGTTTTCACTGGCACAAAGAAACTTTGAGGAGGGGGTCAGTAACCCTGGCACACAAAACATCTACAAATGTTTACACTGCTTTACGGCATATACATTATTATCCCCTTTCCTCATTTGTTATAAAAATGGAAGCTGATGTGACTAAGTTACCCAGAGAGAGTCTATATTTGTGCACATTGTGTAGGATTGATATTCCGGCAATGAAGCACCTTCTTGCAGGGCTTGCTTTACACTCTGTTTCCTTTGCAGTTATGAAACAAAACATTATATTTATCTGTTTCAAGGTTTTAAACTTATCAGCACATCAGTCGCTGATGAGTTGGGGGGGGGATATGCAGGAATACGGTACAAAACCATGGCTTGTTTCTTATTTTCAATGTAGTCATATAACATTGTTTCACCACAATGAGATTTATTACTTAATTGCAAGCACTTCTTTAAAATGTATGTTTATATGCTCTCATTATATTCAATTACTCTCATCACATTTATTAAAGTTGCCCCAGTGAGACATAAAATAAATCTGTTTTTCCAAATTTGCCTCTGCCTCAGCTTCCAAACTCCACGGCAGGTTTGAGTGAGGGTGTGAGAGTTTAAATGATGCACATTGTTCTTACTGCTCGATCAGCTTGGTGGCACCAAAATTACACCAAAGATGTTGAGCAAAAGAAGATGAAATGCAAAGTTTGTCTAAAAACTGTCGGGACTACCCAAAGAAACACATCCAACCTCCACCACCTACAGCACAACCATGCTGTTCAATTCAAAGATGTGCAAAAGGCTCCATTACCTTTGTGCAAATATGTTTGGAAGAGAGATAACATTTTTCTGCTGTTTAATGAGACATTAGCCCCATTTACACTACCCCTTTGAAACCAATCCGAGTTTAGATCAGTTAACCATGCCGAGCTTGGTTCCTTACAACCATTTACACATCGTGCTAGCACTGTTCCCAGCCTCCTAGTGGCAATCTACGGTACTTGCTTTCATTTCAGGCTTAGTTTATAGCACTTTGTTAGTGTTAAAGGTGAATTCCCCTAATGCACATGCATGTTCAGAATGACTGATTGCAATCAAGTCTAAACTCTCACTACATTTAGCCAGAAAGAGTAAATGCTAAAAGTCTCCGAATTAATGCAGTTGGGTGAGTTTTTATTTAGAAGGACATCTTTTTTTTACCAATTTGAATCAAAAATTAAATTAAATTGTACAATTATCTGTATGAATTTTATATCTTTTTCTTTATTTTGGAAATTGGCCTGACACTACTATTTGCTGTGAATTGGTTCTACATCAATAAACTGAACTAAACTGAGCATCTTGAACAGAGACAGTGTCTCCTTCCAGAACAGCATACAGTTATAGTTGGCAGCGTACATTCTGTACAGGTCATCTGTTCATAAAGGTGCATCACAAAGATATATGTTGCTATCAATCAGTGCATAGCCCTTACATACTTTCCAGAACACATAGCTATTTTGTCATAAACAGCCAAGGATTAACAATAATTGATATCCATAGATTTTTATTATAAATTCTGATATTTACAATTAAGGAGACGTAGAATGATTAGAGTTGTACTTACATCAGGTAGACGGTATTTATCTCTGAGTGCAACTCTCAGGTTTGCCCTCTCAGCCTTCTTGGTTGCAAAGTCTTTGTCTCGCTCAATCCTGCAGAACACAAAGACTTCCGATAAGACTGCAAAGTTGGCTCATAGAAAGAATAACATTTACATAGACAATTAAAACTTTATTTTACAGCAACCTCACATACTCTGGCATTCATTCATAGTATTGTTTTACTGGTATTACAGCTGAAGGGCATGGTATTAAAAAGTTAAAGGATTGGCAGAGCAGGTGGCAAAGAGCAAAGCCTTTTGTAACTTGGTGTCTCAGCACCAGCAGCATCACCCCATTAAATGGTTTGTGCACATACATCCTATCTGAGTTGATTTGGCTATTCTGCTTCCATTGTTGCTCTTTTTTTGGGCACATCAAAAAGTGGAAGGGATTGTTTTTGCCCTTTCTTTCATATAACTCAGTTCATTCAACTGAAGACCCTCAAATCCACCCCCTCCCCCGTCACCTCAGGGCTCTGTCCTGGGGCCCCTGCTCTTCATCATCTATCTCCTTCCCTTTGGCAATATCTTCCGCAAATTTAACATCCACTTCCATTGCTATGCCGATGACACCCAGCTCTACCTCAGCACGCAACCATCGTCCTCCCTTCCGCCCGCCTCCCTCACAAATTGCATCTGTGAATTAAAAGCCTGGTTCACCAACAACTTCCTTCAATTAAACAGTAGTAAAACTGAGGTGCTCCTCATTGGCACCAAATCAACTCTTTCCAAAACCGACAGTTTCCAAGTTACTATTAATAGTTCCTCCATGGAAGACTCAATTCTCCATTTTAAAATGCAACTCAAAACCCATCTGCTTAAGATTGCGTATTCTCTTTAAATATCAATTTCACTGTCACAGCCTCTGTAATTTTTAAATGTTTCTATTTTGTTTCTGACACTGTGCTTTTATGCTTTTGTACGGTGACCTTGAGTGTCCAGAAAGGCGCCTTTTTAAATAAAATGTATTATTATTATTATTATAAAGTATCCAAAGCTCAGTCAAATTTGAGGAAAACCATCTAGTACGTTGGTTTCCAGGTCTTGCCACAGATTCTTGATAAGGTGTGGGTTTGGATTACTTAAAGACATGAATATACTTTGATGTATGAATTTAATTTTGTCCATGGTGACATTTTAAGTTTGTTTTGCTGGAAGGTCCATCCAGCCTCCAGTCTTTACACTGAGAAAAAGAATGCAACCCTTTTTTGGCATTTATCTAATCATATTTAGTTACTTTTACACAATTGTTTCATGTTAGCAGGGTTGAACATAAAACAATTAATTATTCCCTGCTTTTTACATTTTAAAACTACAACAAGAAATTATTTTGTATTCACACATATTAAGTAAAATATTATATTTTTATTATTTAAAAAAAAAACACCTGGAAACAAGTGGGGGGTTTTTCAGCTCATTCTTACTTTTTTAAACATTATTGTACAACAAATTAGTACATTTTAAAAATAGCTATACCACAATATAAGTTTGCTGTTTTTTATTGTCAAGTGTTTTCTAGTTTCATTATTATTATCTTTGGAGGGGAAGGGGTGGCCATGATCACCCTAAGCCAGGGATGTCAAACTGGTTCCAGAAAGGGCCATGTGGCTGTAGGTTTTCTTTCCAACCAAGCAATAGCACACCAGACTCCAGTCATCTTGTCAAGGTGGTCCAATCTCAACATGATGACTTGATGATATGAATGGAGTCTGATGTGCTATTGTTCAGTTGGAAAGAAAACCTGCAGCACTTTCTGGAATCAGTTTAACACCTGTGCCCTAAGCCAACCATTGGCCACCCTTATCAGGGGATTTGTTGGACGTAATTCACCACCTCTGGTTCCCCTCTTAGACAGAGGGTGGAAGCAGGAATACTCTGAAGTAGAATGTCTCAACTAATTTGGCATTTTAATTATAAGTATAATACAAATAAATGAAAAACAAAAATACAGTAATTATTCACTTATAAGTTTGTTTTCAGCCACCGGTCAGTGTAAACGGGTCCCTGGATGGCCAAACCTGGCCACTGCGTCATTGTTTATATTCTTTGTATTGAAATCTATTAATTGTTTTGGGATGTAGTTGATAATATTCATGTTTATATTTGAATCACCTTTTCCTCCCAATCCTCCTTTCCTTCTCACCTCATTGTTTTTATCCTCATCAGCTGTGTCCACTTCTCTCCTGTCTGTCTGTCTGTCTGGTAATTGGTTTTCATGCATCTTTAGATGCCTGGTTTCTGTATCTTTCTTCCAATTCCTTGTAATGGGTAATGTTAGAACTTTATTTAGCCAAAGCTCTTTATTTAGTTAAAGCTCTGTGCTTTTAGGTTCTCCTTAAATTTAAATCAATGATAATTAAATGTCAGGGTGTAAAACTCTTTTTCACTCTTTTTACCATTATATTTATCCTCTTCTTATTGATTGTTGGGATACTGACTGGAGCTTTAAAATGCCATACAGATGTGTGCCTTTTTAAAGCAAAGCTGGTGTGCAAAGCAGACATGGGCAATGTGGAGTCAACAAGTCATCTCCATATCATATATTTGTTCTACCCAGCCACTGAAGCAGGTGAGTCCAATCTTCACCGTGAATTAACCTGTGCAGATTGGACTCACCTGGTTAATTGGCTGGGGAGATTAAATACATGACATGGAGATGACTTGTTGACTCCACATTGCCCATGTCTGGTGCAAAGTACTTTACACTGCGTCTCAGCTGAATTGCTCTAAGTTAAACCATCACGAACTAACCTGCTGAACTCAGATTTACCTCTAACTGACGTCAATAGTGTTATTAGCCCAATTTTGCAATAATGTAATTCTAACAGATACCTGTCAGTTTCCTATTTGCTGGATTTGTCTTGTCTATTTAGGGGTGGTCTGCTCTAACCCTGATTTAATAAGATTAGCCTTCACAGGAGCAACAGCTTGGCATAAATCCTCCGTTACTTGATGTCTTGGTCAGGACTGTACTCTTATCTCATATGCCTCGTATGCTGGAGTTTCAGCTCCTACTCGCACACAATTAGTCAGACCAGCACAAAAGTTGCAACAGACAGATTCACACTTTTACCATTGGTCAGTTTGAAGAGATTTTTGTGGATTGTTGGAAAAAGAAAGAAAAGGACAGCAATCAGTAACCATGCAGACCCTGAAAAAAGTAGCATGAATTTCAGTTGTTTGAGGCACAAAAAAAGGTAAACCTAGTCTAACTTTCTTCTTAAGTTGTTGGCGATAAGACTTTAATTTTATTACAAGTTTCCCGTCATCTAATTTGTGAGTGACTCAAAAGGCCAGATAGGATTTGCTAGATATCTTGCTTGGACCTGCAACCCTGCCACGATATTTGTCAAAAACAATTAAATTGTTCCCAATTGAAGGTAACGAAAAAGTTCAGCCTCAGAGTTTAAGATGATTAAATAATTATTGTTTTAAAGTGCCCTGGCTAAGAGATGAGTTTAATGGTGGCTTCTATCCTGACAGGTTATTTACACACAAGCTTTATCTGCTTCTCTGTCTAATTTCAGTAAATAAACCGCTAAAGCTACCTGCTAAACCCAGCCCACATCCGCTGATGTCAAAGGTGCATCACAAGTGGCCAAACTGTGTCATGGAGACACAGTTTAAAAAAAGAACAGACTGCAGCTACTGAGAGTACATCCATATTCAAACAGTCATTGAGAAACATGAATGTTTTAAAGTATTCAAACAAACAAAAAAGCAGCCATTAAAATGTCCTATTAAAATGACCTAAGCTGAGTCCTGAACAATATAAAGAATTTTCACTACTTTGACATGTCCTGACTGATTAATGCCAAGCTAGATGTTATTTTAGATGAGTCCAACGTGCAATCAAGATTTAGCTTTAAAATAATTCAAATTTGTGTAACATAAAGTTATTCTTTTTGTTTTCCTCAGTTATCTACTATTCTTTGCAGCTGCAGCCAATCCTTCAATTTGGAAACAAAACAATCCTCTGAAGGGGATTTGTAAAGAGGGAAAGCTCAGACAAGATTCTCTAGATATCCTGATTCGTCCTGTGAAGACTGCCACATCATTTGCCAACACTGGCAACAAAGTGTTGAGCCTCATATGTTAATTAATGAAATAATTATTGTTCAGAGGCAATTTATAACCTGGCATGTCACCTGCCTCTATTTAATTTGAGCCCCAAGGAAAATAAATCCCCTCCTAAAGCTAACAGCTGATTTTTCTTTGAACTTGTGCCACATTTTTTCTAATCTTATCTCTTATCTAAGTTATTAGGTTAATAATGGTATTATTTTAACAAAAAGAAAATTAGAATAATACCTCAACATCAGCTTGTACTGCTAATATTGCTTTGCACTGAAATAAATGACAGGTTTTCATATTTTTTAGACTCAACAGGATTGCTTTAAAGTAAGCTGTGACACCATTCCCAGAAACCAGCCAGGTGAAACTGAGACTGAGAAGTTCCCTTTGCTGAGGAGAAGCAAGGTGTTAAAAGTAGGAGAAATCAAACCTCCGTTGTTTTAAATTAAATAATTTGATGGCTAATGCACTCCTTCTCTGGTGTACATTCCAAGTTGGATTTTGAAAAACCATGAGAAAAATAAGAAAATAGCAAAAGAAGCTAAATGAAGCTCCATACTGTGAACTATATTCAGTTTTCCAGTCTGAAGCAGCTGGACCAGATCAAATCTTCCCATCCATCTTTTTTCCACTGTGCTGATCAGCTGTCTCTGGTTTTCACATACATTTGTATCACCTTATGGGAGACATGCCATGCTCCACTCTGGTTCATAGCCCCCTCCATAATCACCCCGTTCCCCCAAAAACAAACAAGGGCCACAGGACTACATTGCCTTAGACATATTGCCCTGAACCCAGTAGCAATGAAGTCCTTTGGACTCCTTGTGCTGACCTAAAATTCATTACAGGCCCTTTTCTGGTTCTGCTGTAGTTTGCCTGTAGAGCAATAAGGTCTGTAGATGTAAATAAACTCCAGGAACCTATGCCAGGAACATGTTTGTAGACTTCAGCCGTGCCTTCAGCACCATAAACCTAGCCCTGTTGCAAGACAAGTTCATCCTGGCAAGCATGCCTGACTCCACCTGCAGAGGAATCACAGACTTTAAAAACAGACTGTTGCAGCATATGTAGCTAGTAATATGGGGCCTTGACAAACCATCTCCACTTATCCACAAGTTATTTCCCATCTACTGTTTTTCCTGTTGACCAAAAAGCAGAGAGGAAAGAACCCCCCAGGCCCATCTTTGAGTCTATCCTCTCATTCTCCAGACTTAGACTTTTATTGTCATTTTGTCAGCAGTGTACTATCACCATCTGGTACACTGCTGCCACCACCAGGGACAAAGGAAGGCTGCAGTGTATAGTCTGCTCTGCATAGAGGGTGATCGGTTAAAATCTTCCTTCTTTTGAGGAACTGCACTCATCCAGAACACAAAGCCAAGCAGGTATAATTGCAGATGACCCCTCCCACCCTGGTCACAAACTGTTTCAAACTCTTTCCTCTGGCAGAAGGCAACGTTTAACCAGGACCTCAACATCCCGCTAGAAAAACTGCTTTATTCCCATCTGACACTGATGTCATTGACAAGGCTGAAGTTCCCAACTGTCAATTTTCTATTGGAGGAAGAAAGCCTGACTTCATACAGTTGTTCATTTTATCTGCCACAGTGCCCTTTCTGTACAACTTGCATTTCTTTATTCCAAATGATATATTCTTCTCTTTATTTACTTTAACTGTATGCTTACAAGTCTGTATGTAATACATTTTTCACCAAAACAACTTGCTGATATGAGTGGTGCAGCACTTGGCAATAGAGCTGTTTCTGATTCTGAAAAGTTGTAATGCTCTCCAATTCAATTTCTCTATTTTGTGCTCACATAAGAATTTTCACAAAAGGTGCAACATACACTTGGATTGTGAAGGCCAACAGAATCTTTAGCATCTTTAGCATTATCATTTTTAACCTGTCGTGTGAGCTTTTCCTACTTTGACTGTGCTGCCTCCAGTTCATACTTGCCACTACTGTACACTATTCCAGCCACTTAATTATGGTGTTCTTTATATCCCTTGATCAGTGCCTATGTATGGGCTGTGTTTCAGTATAGAACTGTTTAATAATTGGATTGAACATAATGCTTCCTCAAACCTTTTGTAGTACACGGTGTAAAGATACTTCTCTCTCATTAATGGTTCCTCCTAATGGTTGTTTTACACTCTGCGTTCTTCTGCTTCAGGGATTTAGCAGCTCATAATCAAGGTGTCCTGATGTACTTCAGGGTCTGTATTGTTTTTGTCCTGGATCTCACCATGCATACATTCTGAAGAGCTTCCTTATCTCAGTATCATGAGCTCCGTTTGTTCCCTGCCTTTGACAAGGCAATTACCACAGACAGTGTGGAATCTAACGTCTGCAATGTATCCATGTTGACATCTTCACTTTACTTTCAAAGTGTTATATGATTGATTTTCAGGGCTTGCCTAAATAACTGCAGATACTTGATCAGATTTGTGCTTGCCTGTAGGATGTTTCCCTGGTTACGATCATCTTCACCCATTGGGACACCAACTTGAAAATATTAACTTAAATTGACTTGCAGAGCTCACACACAGAATGCACACACATGATAATACAAAATAGATACTTACTGTGTTAACCATCACAAAAAATGAATAATGATCATAGGAGAGTGACAAGAACTGGTGGGGAAATTAAAATAATAAAAAATAAAAAAAATCTGGAAAATGTGAGTTAATTAAAGTCGCTTTTATTATTAAGGTGTTTAGCAGCAGTGTTGTTATAACATGTTTACCTGATATTTTGCAGCAAACAAAATTTGACATTTCTTATGATTCTAATCAGTTATCAAATTGTGTTTACTCTGCAGAAACAATATATTTTATTGTGTGCTCCTTAAAAAAACTACTTTTTGTCATTATGAGGAACGTTTTTTTAATCATGCTTGTTTGCAAAATTGTATCGTTGGAAAAGAAGATGCACCCCTGACTTTAAGATAAAGTGTTGTATTCATATATAAATTTGTCTTTGTAAGAATCATAGTAGGTACAAACCTTTGCCACATGCCATATCAATGTCATAAAGCAGGAAATAAATGCTATGGATTCATACAGTGTAGTTTCTCCCAGGCTTCCTTTTAAATATTTTTCAGAAAAAAATGGAAGGGATGCATATTTTATGTTCTTCACAAAGCTTGCGTTTAATTTTATAATATATCTGTGAAGATTCTCAGTCATCCAGGTCATGGTCATGCTTGAAAAAGTTCAGCCTAGGCAACTGGATGTGAAGTTTTCTAGAAGATGTTTCACTTTCCATCCAAGAGGCTACTTAGGTGTGTATAACATACAGAAGTTTGTTTGTTCTAAAATGATTTTAGCTGATGAAGGCATTTATATTTTTCATTAAAATATGTTATGTTGACAAGTTTTAAAATGATAAAATATTTACGCAACATGTATTTTTTTAATTATGCTAAAAGTGCTTTCCCCCCTCAAAATCCGCTTTTCAATTACTTGCATTTTTGTTTAATCAGGTTTTGGTATAAACGTATTGGTAACGAAAGCTTTTTTTTTTTTTTTTACTTACTTTTCTTCCACCAGCTGCTTCTGGTATTCTTCAAACTCCTCCCTGGACATGCCTTTGGACTCGGCCGTTTCTTTACCACCTGCTCCAGCCTTTCCGTCACCTTCACCAGCTCCATCAGAAAACCCCTTTAACTTACTGCCCAACATTTGATTCATAAGAAATGCCATAGCTGTTTAAAAAGGTTGTTGAGTCTAACTTGGAATGACTTGAGGAGAGAAAAGAAAAGTTTATGGCAAATTAATTTCTCAATATTTTCTCATTGATAATGTATCTAAAAGAGTTGCCCAGTATGTAAACACCCCACTTGAAACCTTGTCTATAGTGTATCATGATGATTAGGGTGTATCAATAACTTGCTGCTCAAGTAAAACCAATAAAGAGCTTATCTCATATCTAAACAGTGTAACAGATGGTCTAGAGCCACAGAGCCACATACTTGCTGGTCGTGAACGCTGTCACAGTTGTTGTTGTCATAACCAAGCTACCTTATGGAGAATAATTATGTTAGAGACACATAACTACATAGATGTCATAGTGATGAAGAAACATTTTTGGATTGATTAAATAATGAGTCTATATTTTCATTTTGTTGAAGGTATTGTGTGCAGTAAGCTTGATAAACATTAAGCCCTTACTTTAGAAGACGAAACTGGCTCTGTTTATCTGTGTCATTGCTGTTCATTTAAATTTTACTCTGCATTTTCCAGGGTGTGTCTGCAGAGAACAATCTTCTATTTCCTTAATTACTCTTTTGTGGTTACATTTAGACACAACAGCTCTAGTTCAGACATAAGGAGAAATTCCCAAATATATGTCATTATGAAATCAGAAGCTAGAAAATCTTAAAAATGGAGAAAGGCCACAATATTTTGCATCAACTCCTGTTGCAGCTTCTAAAAAAAAAAGGATAAATGTAACGTAACGGCATGTAATGACATGCCGTTACATTTATTCTTTATTAAAACATGAATAATCCAGATGGAATGGTAAATATCCTTTTCCCTTTTTTATTGCTGTGAAACATCATATGAAATATATGAAAATTAAAAAGATATACATGCATATGCAGCAAAATTAGAACAGTGTCTAACTTTGTAGTGTTACTAAAAACAAATAATACTAATATTTTGGTGTAAATATCTAAAAGAATACTATATAATAATAAATATATAGTTACTATTCCTCATATTTTGAAACTTCTCTAAGTGCATTGAATTGAAAACATACAACCAAAAATGCTGTAAGGTAATATTAAGCATGATGCATATACATTTAGAAAACTGAACAGTAAATATATATCATCACATTAAAATATTCCAAAATTGTATCAAAGATTTTAGGATGATAATCAAACATATATGGTGCAAATATTGTGCAGAACATCAGGTTAATTAATTTAAATTTACTTTGTTTATATACCGTAGCACAAATTCAATCTCAAGGCACTTTACAGAGACAATTCAACTATATCATACAGTAAGGCTGGTAAAAATAGCTGCCAGAACATTTTGCTAAAACTTAGTTTTAGCTTCCTGTTATATATTGGTTAAATCGTCAAAAGCAGTTGATCTGCTGTGCACTGGTATGATGAGCATTTAGTAACATGCATTTTGCCCCTATTAGATCAGTAAATGCTTCATATCTATATTATTATTATTATTTCCTATGTCAAATTTTAATTCATAGCTCCAGAGCATTAAAATCCCTGAAAAGAGCCTCATTTACAGGCAGCTACTGGGAATTTATTATCGCATACTACCAGTGATCGTTAAGATGTAATTACCGTACCAATGTAATAAATACATGTATATTACATGCACGTAATCAATTTAGCACTTTGCCACATCTGTATTATTGTGCTCCATTAACACATACATTTTATAGCGATTGATTTGTATAATATGTTGTATTACATGATTTAAAGACTTCATAATGACTATGCAATGTGATGTGGCTATTTTTTAATTATAGGTTAAAGTAAACAGCAAGTGTGTGTCAAAGTGATGAATTTATCTTTAATTTAAAAGTCTTAAGTCACCATGAAAATGAGAATATCATATCGTTGTTCGATGCTGTAGCGCACATATTTTTTTACATTGTGACTGGTCTAACAAGGGAGTACCAATATGGCGGACGGTGGCTTTTCTTCAACCCCATAATACCATCGGGCAATCAGCAATCGTGAATAAATAGAGATCAGTGCTTGAAGAGCGTTTTCTTCCACCTTTAAGACTGTCAATCATGATTCCACGCCCCTCTCATATGTAACCACGCCCCTTGCACAAATGCGGGGCTAAAAAGTGAAACAAATTTTTTTTTGACAAAATACAAAGATTATAATTCCGAAAACATAAAAACTGAACTGAAAACAATTAGTCCTCGAATATAAAATATTGAAAAGATAAAAAGCATATTTTCTTCAAAATTATTCCAGAATCGAATCAGTATTTATTCTAAACTGTGAAAAAAACTTTGTATTTTTATTTTTATTTTGAATGGTTGTGTTTGTCAACTTTCATACAAAACATTCAGTTTTCAAATTTTAGTTTTTCAATTAAAATGTATTTCTTTTTATTTAAAAAAACTAATATTTTGGCCCCAATTTAGCACCATATACTAAAGCGTAAATTCCGTCATTTTCTGAAACCTGACATTTGTGCCAACTAAGTATATAAACGATAATTGTTTCATTTTATTTTGTAAAGCAAGTCGGACGGTAGCCCAGAAGGCTCAGTTTAGCCGATTTGCACTTCCGCGTTGTTAGAAATCAAGACGAACAGGCGAGTTTCGACACTTAAAATACTCTAAGCAGGTATGATTACTGTTTCTTGTTTTAACATGTATTTAAACACTGTAACGCATTTCTAACATTAGATCGTAACTAAGCAGTTATTCTAGTTTTGACTTTAATAGAGTGTCTCAGATATTACAGAACACATAGCATGCTAACATTAGCACAGTGACTTCTACTTTTTGAAATGAGGCGATTAATTCACTGAGTGAGTGAACTTTACTCACTGATAAGATCATGGATGACTTTTGACACCTTGTTCTCTTTAAAGCAGAATGATCAGCCTGCTGTTGCTCAATGTTTTTCTGTGTTTTATTTGACAGCAGCATCCCAGCATCCAGGCTGGAAAACAAAGCAAGACGAAGGTGTAATGTCAGCTGAACTCCCCTCCCTGAGCTGCTGATCATCTGTTCATCCATCATGTCTCTGGGAGACAACCCTCATCTCCTCCTGGGCAGGATCCGCTTCTTGAACAAGTGCATAGAGAGTTTTAGGAAGAGTGAACCAGTCCCAGAGAGTCTGTGTTATGTTCCCAAAGAGGTCTGCTACAAAATATGCAAGGATTCATCATCCAGCTCCTCTGCCTCTGTTGGAGCCTCTCCAGGAGGATCAACTGTGGGTAAAACCCTCCTGTCTATATTTGAAAGTCCTCATCAGGTCCCTCACTGTAAGAAGTCATGCAAGTACAGCATTGAGCCGAAGAAAGGGACCTGCATCAGGACCACAGGGGAGGAGTACTGCAACAGCCAGGGTCTCTGGGTCAAAATGAACAAGGTGAGCTCATCAATCAGTCATTCTTCCACCCTCATGCTGCTTTTCAAGTCGACCCATCTTCTCAAGAATAAAGTAATGGGCTCTGCTCCATGTATTTTTCTAGCTTTTTTTTATTTAATTTAAAATATTTTACCTCTTAGATAGAAATAATAAAGAATAGAACAACATACCATCCTCATCATATTCACATTTATTTTTCCCAGATTTATTTTTGCTCTTTAGAGCCATGTCTCCTAATTTACCCATGACATAAAGTAAAATAAAGTAGATCTCTATGTGTCTGTGTGTATCTGCAAATATGAAGTACATTTGTTGCACATGTTGTTGTAGTTTACTATTGATAGTGCTCCTTAATCTCGGGCTACGCTGTGCAGAAGCTCTGTTTGCACAGGTAGGTATTCCTTAGCTTTAGCATGCAAAATGTCAGCATGTTTTCTAATGTTTTTTTATTCAGGAAGGACAGTCATAGATTATGTAAAAAGCATTGAGCATTTAGCCCAATAGTCAGGTGGTTAAAAATGGGGGTAAAAAGGAAGATTATTCTTTAACATAGCGTGAAAATGGATTTACTCTTGTCTTGAGTCGCAGCACACTGTATATTTTGGGCCTGTTGTACAAATCCAAGTATTATACAGACTTTATATACTTGTCCAGCCTTATTGATCAGAAAATCTGCTTCATTACTTTAAAGTGTAGACTTAGCTAAAGTGTATTTTAAAATAACAAACTGTAACAGTAGCTTTGTTGTCTAAAGACTGGTGGTAAAATGACTTAAAACCCTTTTTCTCAACCTGTGGCTAAAATATCATTGGTGATCTGTGTGTCCACAATTTAGTTTCAATCATTAATAAAGTAGAACAAGATAACTATCACTGTAATATTTTGCAGGTAGGGCAAAGTCCAACTGGCTGATATTACTGTGGAATGCAAGTTTCATATATATTAGCCATCAATTCTGGCACTCCACTTGTGTTTGCAGTCTGAGTATTGCATACACTACAATACTATAATGATGTTATTGTTGTATATAATTTTTTTTTGTTCCTGCTTGTTATTCTTACCTATGACTTAAAAATACTTGCTTACATCTACACAGGTCCTCTCAAGCTCAGCTTCAGATATAAACAGCTATTTCTATGCAGGAGTGAATATTGTTGGCAAAAGTAGAGATTTTTAGAGAAGTAAAATTAGTGAAAACCTAATGAGAATATTTTTGAATAGTTTTCTTTCTGGAGATTAATTATTTTATTTACTTTTAAATAAGTTTTAGAATGCTTTTCTTAGTTTTTTTTTTTTTTTTTGAAGAGCATCCCTCCAAGTATTTTTTTTTATACCTGCTGTATCAAATCAGTTTCTCTTAAAAATGAGATCTTGGAAATCATTTAGATTAGTTGTATACATAGAAAATCAGCAGAATATTTTCCTTTTTTGTGGTATTTCATGGTTTGTTCATTTTTTTTGTAATTCATAATCAGATGTTGCTGGCACAGTCACTGTTAGTGAGGGGTGGATGAGGTATCATGAAGAATTAGACTAGACTGTATTAATATTATATCACTAAATACTGACACCTGCTGGACTCTAAAAATCACTACATGCCGCCTATCTGACAACTGATATGATGACTTAACATATACAATAATATAATTTAAGTCATGGTATGTTATATTGTATATTTCATATCATTTAAATGTAAAATATCTTTGATATTTTAGATGCAGTCATTAAATAATGTGAACATTTACAAGTGAATCTGAATGCTTGAGTTTTTTTTAACACATTTTTGTAAAAAAAAAAAAAAAAAGTAAGTACCGTAAGAACAATAAACTAAAAGCCAACCTGAAAAGAATTTAAATTCAGATAAATCAAATGAAAACTGAGAGGAACAAGATGAAACAAGTAAATTAAAAGAAATACCAAATTTCTGATATAATATCAGAAAACTCCCACAAAGATTAAACCTTTATTATGGCCACAAGCTGCTTCATAACTCTTGATGAATTAAGTGATGAACCCAAAACGATCACAGATTCTTTTGATTTGATAGACAGGCTTCCTTATAAACGATTTGTTGCTTGAGAGTTAGTGCGAAACGGCTCCTGTAACGGTCATGTGACTTTCTTTTAGCGATGCAAACACAGAGTTTTGTTCAATAAACTTGACCCATGCGCCAACGCATCAGTGTTGCTGCATCCATCACTAGTCACTGCACTTACTAAGCTGTCCTTTTTTAGCCCTACACTTTTCAATTCCAGCTAAAATGTCATTTTTAGACATAATTTACTGCCTTAAGTTAGATTAAAATGTTGGTCTTTTGATATTTTTTGATATTTCAGTTTGTTTTTTCTTTGGGAATAATTGGAGAAATTACCTTTGTACAAACAATAGTTGCGCCTTTACTCTGTGTGATCTCACCAGTGGGTTGTTCAGAGGGATGTTTGTGATGACCAAAGAATCTGCTTCTGTTCTCAGGAGCAGCTGGAGGAGCTCCGACCGGGACAGGAGCTGGAGGAAGGCTGGATCCTGGTGTGTAAGCACACCGAGGGAGGAGACAGGTTGGTTCCCGTGGAGTCACCGGAGACCATCAGCAGGCAGCAGCAGCTCTTTGGCTACGACCACAAACCCTGCCACAGGTGGGAGCAGGTGGTGGACGTGGAGAACGCGCTTTACATCGGCTCTAAACCCAAAATCGCAGAATGTGACTCCGTGGCCGTGCAGAAGCTGAGGTGAACAAGTTGGTTTGAAGTCACTGTTTACTCTTTATGAAGTCGCTACGCTGCAAATTTCAAACATTCAAAGTTAAAAACATTGAAAGTGAAGACGTTTACACCTTAAAAAAAACTTCCAGGCACGTTCCTCCAACCTGGACGTATGAGTGTGACGAAGACCTGGTGCACTACTTCTACGATCACATAGGAAAAGAAGACGAGAACCTGGGGAGCGTGAAGCAGTGCGTCACCAGCATCGACGTCTCTTCAAGTTCGGTGCGGGGCGTTTAACTCTTATTAACTGCTTTACTTATTCTTACAGCTCACAAACCCTTCTCACTACCCTTCTCACGGAAAACAGATCTCACTAGACCTTTGAGTTCTCCTGGTGAAAAATGATTGTGATCATGGTGCATGAAACAACCTAACCTGATGTTTAATGGCAGGAGGATCCCAGCGGTGGGGTGAACTGTCTAACCGATGGCGACACGGAAACCTACTGGGAGAGCGACGGCATGCAGGGGCAGCACTGGATCCGCCTGCACATGAAGAGAGGCACTGTGGTGAAGTAAGGACCTCTTTCTGTGTCTTCTTCATAAGAAATTGGCAAAGGTTACCCAGTAATAGAAAATAATGCTGTGGTGACATTACAGTCACCTGTCTCTCTTTCATCTGACATTTTCATACTGATTCATCTATTTCTGTTGCCTTTACCTTTATACCTTCTTCATTGATCTCATATGTGGACATTTGCTACTGGGAGATTCTTTTTAACCGACCTTGTTACTGGCGGCCTAATGGTTAGAGAGCAAAGCATTTAAGTCACAAGATCCCTCTGTCAGATTCCTAAACCTTCCCCATTTGCTGAAGATTTGCCCACTGCTCTCTAAGTTGGGTTAAACACAGAGGACAGGGCAAAATGAATTCCGTACCTTGTATTTTATTGGCCGAAAAGTGTTGCATTTCAGTGTCCTGTATCATATTAATATTGCATATTGATTAAGTAGAAGTATATTTTCTTTAAAGAGTACAAAGTAGCTAAAACTGCAAAATAAATGTAAGGTATCAGAGCAGTGTGCTTTTAATAAATGAAATGATAGAATTAAAAGTTTCATTTATACACCTACAACTGGCCCTGATCTTGGAGATTTCATTTTGGTTCATTTTCTAGCTGTTATTAAGTTGAATCCGGCTCAGATTAATGTTTCATCACTTTAAGAAGATAAAGGGTTGTTTCCAAAAATTTATGCATTTTGTTTCTTTTAAAACAGCCTCTCAGACTCTATCCGAATACCTCAAATTGTAGCTCCTATCTCATGTTCCTAGTCCTGGCTCCTATCCCTTCACCTTCCATAAGGTCAACCATGAGAACGCTGTCCAGGGAAGGAGAGGAGTTGTGGGCTGCTGTGCTGAATCCAGACCGCCTTTAGCCTTATGGCTGTCATTACCTAACGGACTCACACATGAATGATTCTGGTCAAATTGAGGCAACAAGCTTCTGGAGAGGAGCTAAAAAAACAAAAGCTATAAAATAATATAGTGAACAAATGCAGCTCTTTTAAAAAAAAAAAAAAACATGCAAAGGTGAGGAAATTGGCATGTGTCATGTATGGTACATGTCACAAAATAATCCAGTAAACTCAATGAGGGGGGATACGGCTATACATCCTGTCACATAAATGCTTACTGTGATGCCACTAGGAAGCATCCTGCTTCCTGGTCTTAGCTCCTTTTTAACTACCAGCATTGTTAGGATAGCAGTTATTATGGATCCATGGAAGCACTTACACTGTGGCTTAAGTGACCTTAACAATTTGTGGTATTTGGCTTGAGTTTGACTCTCTTGCTGTTCCCAAATGTTTAACTTAAACCCAGCATTTTCCCAAAACCTCCTGCAGTCTTTTGCATTTGAACCTTTGTAGTCTGCTTTCATGTCAGTAGTTTTGCTTGTCTAACTGCTTTCCGTAAAGAAAAACTGCATGAGCACTATTTACTCAAAAGCCATTTACCTGTGTATTTAACATGCAAAACAGATTTGCATTTTAAAGAGACGTCATTATGACGTCATTATACGTTTCTACAGCCGAAACCTCAACAGTGAAGCAAAAAGCACAGAATCATTGTTTGTCGTTCAAGTTGCCAGTGTTTATAACGGGCTTGTTTTTTTTTCCTATAGTAAGCTGATATTGACAGTGGACTCAACAGATGACAACTACATGCCAAAGAGAGTGACAGTCTATGGAGGAGAAGGAGACAACCTGAAGAAGCTGAGTGATGTCACCATAGACGAGTGAGCTTTTAGCCAATACAGTTTACCCACCTGCATAGAACGGTATCATATCACCGGAATTGTTTTTGGTTTGTGAAGATTTATGGACAACTGCCCCATAATCATTGCCCTTACACCAGAATAATACCAGCAAATCTCTGCTCTATGTGCAATATAGCTTGATTTTTATCTTGCAGCAATCTGATTGGAGAGGTGTGTGTTCTGGAGGATATGACTTCTCATCTTCCTGTTATAGAAGTACGAATCGAGGAATGTAGAGGTCAGTTGATGTTTATTTATAATTCCATTATTTATGAAAATAAACCAGGTTTAAAATTTAAAAGCCTTTTGTTTTGTCATTACATTGGTTTGGATATCTTCTTCAGTGATAGCACGAGAAAAAAAGATTTTGTTTGGTCAGTGTTGCAGCTTTATTGCCGCTAGCTGATGCTAAAGACTAGTTGAATCATGGAAGCCTAACCTGGAACCAATTTTGTAATTCCAGGGTTTCCGCGGGTCATTAAAAATGATTAAAAGTCATAAAATTATTATTGTTTAAATTAAGGCCTTAATTGGCATTCAAATTCATTAAATGTGTTTATTGTGGCCTTTAAAATGCTTTATTAAAAAATTTTTATAAAAACAATTTTGTCAGACATATTATATCATGATTTATTTGCGTGGAACTGCTTCCGGTTGCTCCCTAAGCTGTATGTTCAGAAAAGAAGGTTGAGTCGGAGAAAAAGCTAGAGAATGGGGGGAAAATAGCAAATTTCAACAAAAATGGTTGGAAAACGAGGAATTCGAGACCTGGCTGCAGCCTGTCGATAGGTACCTGTTGGTGGCATTCAAATTATTTTTAAGAGCATTAAAAGAGCATTAAATTTGAGTTAATCATTCCTGTATAAACCCTGGATTATAGATTTGCTTTTACGAAGGAGAATTTTGTAAGAAGGCACATCGTTACGTGCTACAAGATAAAAGTTTGACTTCAAAGAAGAAATATTAGAATGAGTTATCATAGAAAGATAGACAATGTCTGACTTAGATACAGCAGTTGGACTCGACAGGTACAGAAAATTTATCGTAACTTTAATCAGCAATGTGAACTTTAGTGTTATATAAAGTTTACTGCAAGACCAGGCTGCAAAATATGATAATGGTCATTTATTATATTCAGAAAAAATATATAAATGTATAAACTAATTCAAGGATTACGAATCACAGCAAGAGCTGTGAGATATTAGTGCATAAGTAAACCTTTCTGCAACCAAATCCCCACTACTGTTTTGTTCTCTCGGCTTATGAAGTAAACGTCGATGCATTCTATGAATAATTTGTTGTAAAATGGGAAAGTGATTCAGACTTAACAGATAAGTTTAAAAATAAACTGGTTGTATATGAATAGTTTAACAAAAGTTATAATAAGAAATGTAACCTTAACCATGTAACCTTTTTTATAAGTTATTATTATTATTCTCATAAGAAATATGCCATAATTAGGGGGCAGTGTTGGCCTACTGGATTAGAGCAGTGCGCTTGTGCTCTGAGAAGGTTCCAAGTACCCTGTTTGATCCCCACAGATCTCCACTCTTGGGCGCCCCATACAATGGCAGCCCCCTGCTCCCCAAGGGAATGGGTCAAAATGCAGAGAACGAATTTCCCCCTTTGTGGGACAATAAAGAGATTTACATATTTACATGCCTAATCCATCCAAATACTCTGTATTTTAGTAGGGTGGCATTTTCCTTAGACAATTTCTGGTATTTCTACTGGTGGTGAAGCTCATCTAAGACATGGGACTAATTACTGAACATTTGCCAGTAGTTTTTACTCACATGAGGAACCTAAATCAGTTTATGCCTGTAGCAAGAGTAAAGAAGATGGAATTGCAGCAACTGCCCCCCCCTCCAATGCTAAATGACTGAGTAAGGAATGGTGCCATCTACATAAAGTTGCAATTTTTCTTTAGAGTCTTCAATATTGATGCAATTAATAAAAGCAAAAAATAATGTTGGCTTAAAATAAAGCTTAAGCACTTATTTATCTTCAGAACATATGCTGTTCTATCTCTAGGATAACTCCTAACCTGACTCCGTCAGATGGATTTGCTCCGCATATCCATCTGGAAACCTTCCGTTGAAGTCATTTTGGGAAGGGGCATAAATACTGGTTAGCTGATTGGCCTATGTTGGTGATAGACGGGCCAAATAAACCAATCAGATCAGCAAAGCATATGACGTACTAACAGAGCGACGACGAAAACACAACCACAAGCCATGCTACTCTTGCCGAAACCAGTCGGGAGAAGAGCAAAAACATCTTTTCCTCTGAGAAAAGCCTCCAGAGCAGTGTTTTGCTCTTCTTCCAGTGAAGAAATACTCTGTAATTCCGATAAAACTTGCTCGATAGCCATGCTAACGCTAGTTTCATCGGCTGAAGCCACCATGTTCTTTAGACTGAACTGTCGCGCTTCTTGTTGCGTCACACCTCAACCCGCCTCAAAGCCAACGCTGATTGGATGTTCTTTAACGGAGAGTCTCCAGACTGATCTGCGAGTGAAACCTTGAAAGCTCGCGAGATCAGGATGGTCTCACGAGGCTAGATAACTCCTGCATTTGGGGCTAAAATCTTTGTAATAATCCAAAATCAGTTAAGAAATGATAAGGGTGGTTTTCAGAATATATAAAAATGTTTGAAAATGATGTTATTTACAAAATAGTTTTAACTTTTACAAGAGATTAGATTTAATTTCTGTTCTGCACAACTTAACTAAAACTTTCAATCTTTCTGGCCTTCTCAGATGAGGGGATAGATGTCCGAATACGAGGTTTAAAGATCAAGTCGTCGTGTGAAAGGGATCTGGGTCTGAACGCAGATGTTTTTCATTCCTCCAATCTGGTGCGTTATCCCCGATTGCAGGGCACGCCGCCCGATAACCTGTACCGCAGGGCGTTGGTGATCCAGAGGTAAGCATTTGTTTTGGCTGGTCAGAACTGTATTCTTGATGCAATAAGATTTTCTGACAATCCATTGTGCCTTTACACTCCCTTGAGTTTTACATTTGATCTGTTGCAGGTTCATCACTCTCCTGGACAGTGTGCTGCCACACCTGGTGCCAGCGTGGGACTACAGTCTGGGAACCTTTAACCAGATCAAAGTGAGTCGGGGCACAACTTTTATATGCTCCAGATTGTGAACAATTAAAAGGTTTGGATAGGAGGATCCTATGTTAACAAACATAGGATCGACAGAATGTCCAATTAGCTAGGTCAGACAATGTTCGTTTACATATTCAAGCTGATGAGTTTGTTTTCTTCTGGTGCTTCATAATAAAAATATTAAGAATATGGATGAGATTATTGATTAAAAAAAACATACTAAAAGTATAATAGAGATGGTGATTTATTTAGAATACAGAACCTGCAACAGATCAAAACTAAAAGCATCATGGACGAAGGAGCTTCTGCTATCATAGTGGAAAAGTTGCTGCATCTCACTTAAAGCAACATGATCAATATTATGTATCTGCTTTCTTTACCTGAGTGATAAGTATCTGCTATCTGAAACAAGAAGCCATCTGAAACAAACAAAACTAAAACGCTGAAAATTAAAATAGCTTCTTGCTCTGTAAAAGGAACAGCAGTGGCTCATTTAGCTGACTCAACCTCACCTTACCACTGAGGAATAAATCACAGATCTGATTTCTCTTTTTATAAGAAGCAAATATCACATAATTTCACCATTTTCAGTTATGATTGATAATGTTTTGCTTTCGTAGCAGTAGTAGTCTGAGCTTGATTTTTGGCCTTATTTCTGTTTCTAATCATTTTAGCCCAAAGGCTGCTCAGCCTTTCCTTTCCTCTGCACTAAGAACTCCCATTTATTCAAAGAATCTCCACAGACTTTTTTTTTTTTACCTGGTAAATTAATTAAATTAAATTAAAAAAGCTTATTGAAGGATCTTCCCTTTGCACAGTTCCTACTCACCCTGGAAAATTATGGAAACTGATAAATAATTTCCAGGTGTTGGGAAGGTATAGAAAATTGGGATATAATATCAGAAGTTATTAGTGTTTCTAGGCTTCCATTCCTGTTATATTGTGTAAATGTTCAACGAAATCTTTTGCATCAAGATAATTAAAACCCTAATCACTTAAGAGTGCACTATGCATGTTTATGGAGCTGTGCAAAGAGCTCATCTGCTGAGCATTAATGCTTCGCTTTAGTGTAGAAATAAGTTTGAAACAAAAAGGAATGTTAGATCCTCTAAAAAGAATTCTACATCCCGTAAAGGTTTAAAAAACAATCCACTGGACTTTGTTTCCAAGTTTGAAGATGTTTTGCTTCCCCTCCAGGAAGTTTTCTCAATTCAAAATGTCTGGATTCGCATTGAGTTTGAGGCTTCATATAATGGACCAAAAACAAGGCCTTGCATTGCTTGAAAACATGCAAATTGAAACTGACGAGCGGGTCGTTTGGTTCCATTGTCAGCCCGCAATATCTGAAACCTGTCTATGATTGTGAAAGGTTGCACTTACAGTATAGAGAGTAAAATGAAAATTAGAAATTAAGAAATTAGAAATTAAGGGTTTGGTACCACTACATATGTTTTTGAAAAAAAAAAAAAAGGAAAATGAAAATGATTGTATTTCTTTGTGTCCTTTGGCGCCCTGTAGAGCATAAAGCAGTTCTTGCTGCTGTCCAAACGGCGCTCTGCTCTCATCATTCAGTGCCTGAGGGACTCAGAGACCAGCAAGCCGAACTTCATGCCTCGCCTCTACATCAACAGACGTCTGGCTATGGAGCACAGAGACAACCCGTCTTTGGACCCCAGCTGCAAGAACGCTGTGTTCAGTCAGGTTGGTCTTTAGTCTCAGTGGTTCAGCTGAGTCAGATCTTACTACTGTGCTCTAATCTTTATCTCTGCTCCTGAAGGTGTATGAAGGTCTCAAGCCATCTGACAAACATGAAAAGACTTTAGATTATAGGTACATCTTCCTAGCTTCGTCCTAATAAACTCGGTCATGCTGGTTAATGAACCAAGATTTACCCGAATTTTCTATTTTTGATCAGATGGCCGGCTCGCTATGACCAGTGGTGGGAATGCAAGTTCATCGCAGAGGGAATCATTGACCAAGGAGGAGGATTTCGGGACAGCCTGGCAGACATGTCGGAGGAGCTCTGCCCCAGCTCGGCTGAGTGTCCCATGCCTTTGCCGTTCTTCACCCGGACCCCCAATCAGGTAGCAGGTCGTACCTCATCAGCTCTTTTAAAGATTGCATCAAGCTTCAACGAGCTTCACTTTTCTGAAGCCGTCATTATTGCTGTCTGTCAGGGAGACTTTGAGGCCAGAGATTACTATGTCCCGAATCCGTCCTGTAAGGACTTCCATAAATACGAGTGGATCGGCCAGCTGATGGGAGCTGCTCTCAGAGGAAAAGACTTCTTGGTGAGTAACACCTACTCCTGTATACCTGCAGGATGTCTGCTTTATAAAGAAACAAGAAGCCTTATCTGTTAAGGCTGATTTATACTTCGAAACCAGGTCGTCTGCGTGTGTGTCGCAGTGAATGCAAATGTGCCGCCGCTCCTGCCGCAGACACTGCTGCACCTCTCCAAAATTGTAGGTGACCTCAGACAGGAGGCCTCTGATTGGTCAAATCTACATCCACTCTGCGCTATGAGTTCTCCTGACCGGCTTGTTTTTTTTGACCGCCATTGCGGAAAACAACTTGTTAAGATGGACCAGTTTGAAGACTGAGGTGCGCGAAAAACTCTGGGACCCTTTTTCCACCTGGATCCCCGCACTTTTTTGCCCATATGTCCCCCCCACTTCCTCACCTCCTCGGCCGTATCTAGACCCATATCTAGTTCGCGATTGTCCCTCTTGCGTTGTGGCGTGGAATAACATAGCGCACACCATGCTTCAAAATTGGGCATAAATCAAAAATATCTGTGACCAGCTCTCTGCGACACACTGCTGCGGGGTAAAACCAGCCCTTTAGAGTTATAAGCCATTAATATCTTACATCATTACATCTTTACATCCATTTCTTCTATTTATATCAATCCAGATTAGTTAATCCCAGAGACTGAAGCTAAGAGAGAGCTTTAGGGAGGCCAAGACTAAATCTGACTTTCCAGTAAGAATAACCAAACTGATATAGAAACAAAGTGGTGTCAAAAGGGAAAAATATTTAAATTGCAATGAAATACAACAAAGTCTGTGGTGTAAATGTAACTATAATAAGAGAGAGAGTCCAAGAGGGGATGTTCGTTTTGTTTTTTATCCATCATTGTATTCATCCCACAGGTGTTGGCTCTGCCAGGCCTGGTCTGGAAGCAGCTAACAGGGGAGGCAGTGAGCTGGAGCAAAGACTTCCCAGCAGTGGACTCAGTGCTGGTGAGGACATTTAAATCATTTCTTTACTTCCACAGAAACATCAAAGATTTAATCACCTGGAGGAGACTCTTAATGGGACTTAATTACAGCAGGATGGTCTCTGGATTTAGCTAACAATGATGGCCAGTTTATATTGTATTTTTTTATATTATTATTATTTGTTTAATTGACTGGTATAGTCTCTTGTTCTTCCCGTGTCTGACTGTAAATCTTACACATAATTTCAGAAAAGATGTGTTGGTCTTTAGTGGCTTCCCATAAATTTTCCTCCAACCTGTGATCAGGTAAACCTGCTAGAAGCCATGGAGAACATGGACAAGGAGACGTTCGAGTTCAGGTTTGGGGAAGAGCTGTTCTACACAACCCCGCTGACAGACGGTCAGATGATGGACCTCATCCCAGGTGGCAGCAATGTGCCAGTTCGGTATGAGGACCGGAAAGAGTTCATCCGACTGGTGCAGAAAGCTCGGCTGGAAGAGAGCAAACAGCAGGTTAGAGATTAATTCCTGTAGGTTTATTATTGTTTACAGTTTTTATTGTTAGATCATCTGATATTCTTTGATTTTGTTGTAGATCACAGCCATGCAGACAGGGCTGCTGAAGGTGGTTCCCCAGGCCGTACTGGACCTCCTTACATGGCAGGAGGTGGAAAAGAAAGTGTGTGGAGACCCAGAGATCACTCTGGAGGCTCTGAAACGACTTAGTAAGTTTTACCCTTCGATGGAGCTAAATCGGCCCATATATATAGAGAGAGGCCAAAAAGTTTGGAAAACATTCCAGATTTTATTGAGCTGGATCCAGAACTAAGGAGCTTAGATACTAGATGCTGGATCCTCTTGTACTGGTCCTGGTTATGTTCTAACCTTTAAATTCTACAAGCAAAAGCAATTATCCTGCAGGGCTGTTGAATGCATTATGGCTGATACAGTTATTTATATTGATGGTCTGTGGTAACAGAGATTTTAAGCTCACTGTCATCAGCATAGATAATTATTTCATATTATATAATATCAGTTATTGACAGGGTGTTGATCATGAATAAGTCTCCTATGAAACAGCTTTTGCTGGCCCAGATTAACAGTCGCTAAGTGACTGTTAATCTGTTAACTGCCTGATCAACCTAATGGTTGACCATTTGTTCAACAAAAATGGAGGTTGGAGGTTGACAAGGCAGTTAAAGGGTTAACACAAAAATAACTTTGGACTCATTTTCAGTAAATGTAAAATGTGATTTAAAAGAAAAAAGTGAATACAACCTAAGCAGTTTCTTCTTATGAAATCCATTTACCAGTCAGACTCTGGCTCAGTTTTGGCAATGTTACCTTTTAATGTGACAACCCTTAACTATTTATCGTCCAAGTTATGATGGTTAAACCCTACCACTCAAATGTGGTCTGCAAGGTCCACCTCTGCCTTAAAGCCGAGTGTAACTGCTACATGGAATACCACCAGTGATGTAATGTTGCCTCCTGCGCGAGATATGTTATCTACTGCCAATAAAAAAAAAAAAAAGCTAATAAGTCAAAATGTTGATAAGCTAAGTAACAAAAGTTAAAAAGCTTGTTTAAAAAATAAAAATTGTTTAAAAAGTTAATAAGCTCATTTAATAAGTAAAAAAAAAAAAAAGTCCCTGTATCAGCATGTAACAAATATGTGCTTCTTTCTTTCTATATGTTTTTCTCACTAATTTCTTATAAAGGGCTGGATTTTTATTTTATTTTTTACAATATTGGGAAAACAGTTTTTGGTAGTTATTATGATCTTGATTTTTCCAATGAGAATATACTTTTTGTGTTACAAAAGTAATAAGTCTTATGTCCTTAAATAACACTCTTGAGCTGAAATCTTGGATTTTAAAAATATTTCACTCTTTGCCCTATAAAGGGTTAACAATATGATTAATGGAAGATGAGGAGGAACAATTAGACTGACTTCCTGTATTGGCACCAAGAAATAGTATCAATATCTTAGAAAGCAAGAAAATTTATAAAGGGGTGAAAACCTGCAAAGATCAGTGGAGTTATACTGGTGAAACTCATTTTCCACATTTCATTGCCATTTTATGACTAACCAGGTTATTTGTTGAGGAGCTTAAATAGTCTTAGCTCTTTAAGATACTACAAAAATGTAATGTGGGATAAAGTTAAAATCCATCCAAACACTACTAACATAATGATGATGTTTTTATTATCTACCAGCACGTTATGAAGACTTGGAGCAAAGTGATGTCAGAGTGCAGTACTTATGGGAGGCTCTGTCAAACTTCACCAATGGTTTGTTCTTTGTCACATTTTAGAATGCTCTCAATATAAATCTGTGAAGACGATTCCTTTAAACTTGTTATTTTTGAACTTTCAGAGGATCGCAGCAGGTTTCTGAGGTTTGTGACGGGTAGAAGTCGGCTCCCTGCACCGATTTATGTCTTCCCTGACAAACAAGTGTAAGCACCAGTATTATACTTTAAGAGTTATTTACTAAGGATAGTGAAATACCAAAATGATTCCAACTTGTTAACTTAACCAGGTCAGACACAGCGGACTCGCTTCCACAGTCGTCCACGTGTTCCAGCACTCTGTATCTACCCAACTATCCAAGGTATGGCCAAGTTAAGTGTCTTGGATGTAGTAGTTTTGAAAAGGGGTATCCTCCGAAAAAAGCTGTAATGTTTTTTTATCATTGATAGTCAAAACAAGAATATGATCATAAAGATGCTCCTCTGTCATAGTTTTTGTAGTCAGAAACCTACTGGAATAATTTAGCTTTTTATTTAACTATCTTCTTTCAGAATGATTAGTTGAACTTTTTTTTATAGGATTTGGTACCTGGGATCCTGTTTTAGATGTATCACATCCCAGATTTAGCCCATCCAAAACCAGTTTTCTCTACAATTCAGTTTTAGTTTTGACACCTTCACAATCCAAAAATAGTTTTTGACATCTCGTTTAGTAAATAGGCTTGTTGAAGTTGTGAAAAAAAACTATATAACTCCTTAAAAAGGAGATGGCTGATCAAGTTTTAGCTATGTTGTGTACAAATTTTGTTATTTCTTAGAGAAATATTTAATCTAAACATTAATTCCTTTTTTTTTTTTTTTTACCAAAAAAGTATATTTTTTGGGGGATCAGAGAATAACATTTTGTTGAAACTAATGAAAAATGTTTAAAAGGTTGTTGCTTTATTCACACTGTCATTCTGTTCTATTACAAGTTAAGCCAGAGCTCCTAGAAACCACTATTAGACGCTGCTTTACAGTCACAGGTCACAGACCTTTAGTGTAATTTAAACTTCCAATCCTTGGAAGAAATTAAAAGGGTCTTTAGGATAAACATCAGTACAAATAGTAATAAAAACCCATCAGACAACAACAAATCAATGCTTCCCAAGTACATTTTACATTTATCTGAATAATTTCCTGATTGGTTGTCACTTTTTATCCTGTTGTTTGTTATGCCGCAGAATGAACTGCCTGCTTATATTTGTAGCCACAAATCAAAAGCTTTTGAAGGTTTAATTGTCGGACAAAAGAAAATTCAAGTATTTTTAGGGGATTCTGAATGAGGCATTCGAAAACGTCAGTCGTGATGTTGGAAACATCATGTTGTAAGACTACTCTGCTGCCAGGAGTATTGGTGCTTTGCACATAGCTCATGGAGTTATGATGTAAAGGACCACCTTCAACGTCCCTTAAGATCACGACTAGATTGAAATTGAACAGAGTTGGTGAAATCTTGCTATGGAATCAATAAAGTGGATACAGATTAGGCAACTAAAACAATCTAATTTAGGTTAGAAGTTTCTTATTCAGCCAGAATTATACCAAAACCTTTTTGATTGCTGTATAAAAAATAAATTTACTATGAAGTTGTCTGTAAATGGACAAAATATAAAAAGTGTCTCATTTCAGATTTTTGCGTGTGATGCTAGATGGAAAATTTAACTGGAAATCCCATGTACATGGGAGCTACATTAGAAAGACATTATGTAAAAATACCACAATCCTTCATAAAGTAAAAAATTTTTATAATTGATAGCTTTAAGGCTTTTATATTGCACAATAATGCTGCCTTATTTTATTTATTGCTCAGATGTTTGGGGAAACACATACACAACTACTATTCAACCTTTGATATCTACAAACAAAAATGAAATATTAATTATTAAAACTTAAAGAAGTGAACATACAACTCAACTATTTATAAAATCTAAATTATTAAACTTATCTGTGTGGTTGGAGTCAAACTGTTGAATGCCATGCTCCTAAATATAAAGAACTCTTCTGTTCATCAATTTAAAAAAAACTTTAAATTGATAACAATTAAATCGTATACGCTGCTATAAAATGTGTAACAACAAAATAAATGTAACTTTGATTTTTTTTTTTTTTTTTTTTTGTCAAAACATGACCTGCCTGTGTGGTTTGAAGTTATATTGTAAATTGTGCATCAGACCATCTTTAATATTTTATATATTTGGAGAAAGGTTCACATATAAGCTTTTCTTCTTTGCATCCTTTCAGTCATGTAAACAACATACAATGTGAAACTATTCATGAAACAATGTTAAAAAAAGCAAATGACAGGACTGTAATAAAAATGAAATGAAAAAGCAAGCAGTAAATGCACATACTTGACTTGAAGAAAGTGATCTAATAGTGAATCTGTCCCTGCTCTCCTTTTTAGTGCCAAGGTGTGTGAAGAAAAGCTGCGCTATGCTGCGTACAACTGTGTGGCCATCGACACCGACATGAGCCCCTGGGAAGAGTGACCTTTGCTGCTGCACTGATTGCTGCTTACTACAGTCCCTCCTTAACAAAACGTGTTCATATTCACACATGTACAACTGCCAGTTAACAATAGCTGTGTATAATAAAGAACCTGTAGGGACACATGAATTTAACTCATTAAGAGTTCATATAGAAATTATCATTTAAATAAATACAGTTCTTTGACAATGTCTTAAATCATCTCTCATGTCTTTACAATCATATCCAAGCACTCAGATTTTGTTAAGATATTATGTGTTGGAAGATTCTGATACCTTTTTCCAGAAAAGATAACAGAAACATTAGTTTTTTGGGAGAGATTGTACCCTTGCGAAGCAAAGGTCGGCACATTGGATTGTGGGAGCGATATCTCAGGCATACACTGCCGGGTGTAGTGCCGTGCCACTCCATAAGCTGCCTGTCGCCATCTTTGGCTGCCATAACAGGGAATCCATCTGTGAAGCAGCCTCAGGGTCAGTGCAGACCACTTTCGCTAGGTTCTATCAGGTGAACGTGACCACACCTCATTCTCTACTGGACGGAAAGTGTTTTTTCTTTTCTCACGGCATTCCTCTGGACTTTGTAGGCATATGTCACAGTGCTTGAAGCACTGCCTCTGGCGGTCAGTAGAGACGAAATAGAACATGAGTATGTAACTACGGTTCTATAAATCCCAGATGACCGCCAGAGCATTTGGACCCTCAGTATCACTGTTTATGCGAGAAGATCGAGGGACTGATCTCCCTGTGTCATGTGGTTATATAGACTTATGTTGATCACCAGTAGGTTACAGGTGAGTTTGTTGATACTAATTCTCAACATGTGCAGGGGTGATCACTCAGTGCTTAAGGCACCACCGCTATCGGTCATCCAGTATTCATGGAAGCGTAGTTACAGTGAGGAAAATAAGTATTTCAGCATGCACCTACAATGACAATTTCCGACCCCTCCATGATTTCTAAGTGGGAGAACTTGCAAAACAGCATGGGTGTTCAAATGCTCATTTTCCTCACTGTACATATGTAACTCATTTTAGATTTTTGTTTAGATATTACCTTTATTTTTTTAGCTGTGTATTCTCCAGCATTTTATTTAAATTACACTGTCACAAGTACAGTGCTCCCCTTGGGGGGCAGTGGGCTGCCATTTGTAGGAGTGGGTTTTGAACTCACAACATCAGGATTCAAAGCTACATGCCCTAGCATCCAGTCCACCACTCTCCCTAAATGTTTCCCACAATAGAATTACATTACAAGTACAGTAAATATGTCTGTGTGTCTATATTGGGCCATAAGCTTAGAAATTAATATTAGAGTTGAGGGTTTTTAAAACAAACTTTAAAAAAAAACTCCTATAGAAGAAAATCACCACATTTTATGAAACATTTTGTTTCACCTGTCATGGGAAAAACTATTCATCCTAGTTAAATAAACGGAGATCGATGGATTTCACTCAGTCGGCACATTTATTAATATCTTTGCAAAGAGAGAACAGTCATCATAAAGCCCTTAAGGCACAACATTCTGCTCTGTTCTGATCTGGCAAGGGTTCGTCCCCCCTTACTTACAACAATGGAAAGCAATCAGAGTCATAACAAATTACACACACTTTGTTTAACAGTAACATGTTATGAATAAACCTTGAGAAAGAACCTGATTTGTTATGGGAAGAAGCAAAGTCTGGTCTACAAACACCAGCCTGGAGAGAAATGAGTGACCTTGAGAGAGAAGCAGACTGAGTGAAAACTTTTATAGTGAGTAAATATGATAAATTAATATAAAATAGAAGAAAGATACAAATTTTCAGACAACACACCTCATTTCAAAATTTCAAAAATACAAATGAATTGCTGTGCAGCTGATTAAAAATAGTAACAATTTCCAAGAGCATATGTTTACCCATAATAATATGTTATGTTTTATTTAAAAGTTGAGGTAATAATTGTGTCTCTAAACAACTTTCTTAAGTTGGACTCACAGAAAATTAATCTTAAATGTGGTAGTCAGCAATACCAGCACAGACTACTGACAACATTTACTCAATCAGAAAATAACAAGTGCTTTGCTTTTAAATAAAACTATAAAACAATTATTTTAACCGAACCCTTAGTGACTATTCTTTATAGTCCACATATGTCACCAGAATATAATTTGATATTTTCTGTGACATTAGACAAATTTGGGGTATATATTTTGCTGTACCTATTTCTCGTGTTTTCCTCTGCCCATCTATTTTATTGATGTAATCCTGTGCACTGAGATGGAGGAAAATTAGCTTTTTATGTCAAGTGAAAGAATTTCACTTCACTTCGTTCAGTTTTCTGGCCACAAGCACCATATATTACTTAGAACCTGCAACCCTTCTCCTCTATACTACTGACCTGTAAATGATTATGTCGTAGTAACTAGTAAATAAAGTTTTTTGGAATTACTAGGCTACGAGGACAACTACATATGTTGTGTAGCCCACTTACAAATAGTTTCATCATAATTTACAACAGTGGGAGGCCGTTTACATCTAATCATTTGAAATAAAGTGGGGTTTTTAAGTCACGTTTGTTACGTGGGATTTGGGACGTAGTACGTAAGTTCTCGCGAGTTTCCGAAGCTTCAAACTTACCCATGAGCCTTTGCGATTCCTCTTTCTAGCCGGCGCCTGAGAATGGGTACGTGTTTTCGTGTGAAGCTCGGAGACTGAATCCTTGTCCATCTCATATTTTAACGAAGGAATATCATCTCAATGGTTCGACATGTGGTAGCTTAATGCCTTTCAAACTTATCTAGCTCAAACTTATATTCTTAAAAACTGCAGATTGTGTTTTATGTTGAAATTATCAGTAGCTGTGTGTAATGTTCAAAGATGGCTGCTCGCGTTACCCGTGTTTAGCAAGGTGCTGCAGCTGAAATGAGGCATTAAATTATTTGCAGAGCTGATAAGAATACATTGTTTGGAAATATAGTGAGTATAAATGGTTTTGGCTTGTGGAAGCTTCTTTTGAGAAGGATTTTAAACGTGTGGTAGCTAATGTGCGGTGTGGACTGTTAGCTTAAGCTAGCGTGCTGCTAGGAATTATCATGCTGCTTTTGATACATTAAGTTGAGATACATGCACATTTCCTATTAAAGGGTTTCTGTGGATGTATTGTATTGATACTTTTAGGAATTCTAGGTTTTATAGTGGCTATTGGGTGTTCCAGCTTTTAGAAGTCCAGAAATTACCTCGTGTTTAAGAGTCGATCTGATAAAGTGATTCTTTTTAATATTCTCTGTAATTGCTTGAGTGTTGTGATGAAACTCTTATTAAGCGGATTCCGAATTGGAATGTGGACAAACCTTACCTTGGAGAACTGAACACTCAAGCAAACTGGTGTTTAAAGTGAATATAAGTAGAGAACCTCTGGTATGACCACTTCCGTTATTCTTCCCTATAGGTATCTCAAGGGACAACTGGCACAAACGCCGCAAGACTGGCGGTAAACGCAAGCCCTACCATAAGAAGAGGAAGTATGAGCTTGGACGTCCACCTGCAAACACAAAGGTGAGTGAACAGCCTGGCTGGTGTTTTGATAAATGTAAATTAACGTGGGTGATGAAAACTTGACCTTAGGTAGGCTCTTTTTTGTGCTGTTTTGGTACAAAGCTTTGAGCTTATCAATGGTAGGACTTGTCATAGTTACACTGACACGTTGAAATGTAACAAACTAGTACTTCTGTTTTACCTCAAATTACTGTTTACAACAAAAATTGCAAATTTTTTTTTTTGTAGCTTGGACCTCGCCGTATCCACACAGTGAGGGTCCGTGGTGGGAACAAGAAGTACCGTGCTCTGAGGCTAGATGTTGGAAACTTCTCATGGGGCTCTGAGGGTGAGCATTTAAGTTTGGGCCTTTAATGATCTTGTTTCCATGATGATAACTTTGTCAGTTCTGCTACTGAGTGTAAGTGGAGAAACCAAAGACTCTGAGGAAAAATCTACCGTAAAACTAAACTATTACGTTTTTCAGGTTTTTTGTTTTTGTTGTTTTTTCTCTTTCTAACTTTGCTTTACCTTGTGTGTTCAGGCTGCACACGCAAGACCAGGATCATCGACGTGGTCTACAATGCCTCCAACAATGAGCTGGTCAGAACCAAGACCCTGGTGAAGAACTGCATCGTCCTTGTTGACAGTCTTCCCTTCAGGCAGTGGTATGAGGCACACTATGCCACTCCTCTGGGACGCAAGAAGGGAGCCAAGCTGGTAAGTTCGACGTGCATCTGCAGTAAAAGATGTAGTTTAATATCATTTATGTAACTTTATACTTCAATCATAGATGTTTAGTGCCATAATTTTTGAAAATGCAGTGTTCAAAAGTAATAATCAGATAGCCAAAGGTTCATTAAGGATTTTATCAAATTAAACCTTTTTTTATAATATCACAATTTATTTTTTTTTCTAGGTGCATGTTTTGGAGCAGGAATGTCAAACTGGTTCCAGAAAGGGCTGTGTGGCTGCAGCTTTTCTTTCCAACCAAGCAATAGCACCCCAGACTCCAGTCATCTCAAGTCCAACCTTGGCGCGATGCTGTGATGAGATGAATGGAGTCTGGTTGGAAACAAACCTGCAGCCACACGGCCCTTTCTGGAACCAGTTTGAAACCCTATTTTTTGAGTCTTTATAGTCCAGTTAACAATAAATTAGTGGACGATTGTCTCAATAATCAATTATGATTAATTATTAATCTGCCCTACATTGTATTACTAAGTTTAGATAAACAAAATGGGGATTAGAGTTTCTACACATGCTCTTATTCAATCTATATTTTGTAAACCAGATGATGATACTGTCTTACATTGTTAGAAAATCCTCTATCTGCTTAATATTGCCATTTATTGGTCAATATATGGGTCTGTTTTCATACCCATTGAGTTGCTATATATATATATCTGCAATATAAATTATGACTTGACCAAACCTTGTCTGACATTACAAAATTGGTGATTAAAATGTATGATTGGAACTGGTATTGTAATGGGTCAGAAATCAGAGCTACAATAACGCCAGAATTCTGACATTTTCCAGATACAGTTTACCAAATGGTCAGTCAGCATAAGCCATATAATGTGCATATTTTATGATTAAAAGAACTGCTGGGAAAATCAAAGTATTGAAGTGATAAATTAGTTGGAAATGCTTTGTTCTGTTTTAAGG